ATATCTGGTCGGTTGTTGATTTTCCAGGTCTGAAGCCACACTGATAAGGTCCAATCAGTTTGTTGACGGTGGGCTTTAATCTTTCACACAATACGCTCGTTAGGACCTTATATGCGATATTGAGGAGCCTTATCCCACGGTAGTTGGCGCAGATTGTGGGGTCTCCTTTTTTGAGGATTGGGCATAGCAATTTAAGTATGCTCTGGGCATCGGTGACTAGATCACCTTTGAGGGTTCTACAAGAATATGCTCCGGTCGTGAAACCTTCTGTAAGCCGCCGCATCGTTTCGTAGAATTTTCGAGCATTACCCCTAGCGGCCAGCTTATCAAGCTTTTCATACTCACGTATTTCGGCCTCTTTCTTTTTCTGTCGGAAAATGCGTCCCGCTTCCCTCTTCAACTCTGGGTATCTATCTCATCCCGTACGTGTTGTGGTCGATGGTAACGTTGCGAGGTAAGCAGCCTGTTTTCTCTCCGTTGCGATACGTCACTCCTCGTCCTACCAGCTGTTCTTTTGCATTTTCCGAAAACCAATGGCTTCGGTTGCAGTTGTACGTGAGGAGTTTGAAATGCCGTCCTATAGTTCCTTATACCGAGTTGTTGACGAGTGCTCTCAGACAGCAGGAATGCAAGCCGAGTAAAAAATCGCTCGGTTGTCTGTTATGATTGCAGCTTCTTGATGTCGAACATTCCTTGCGTTTTTTGGCGCGTGCTTTTTGCTGCACAAAGGCGGATACGAACCTCGGCATTAACAAGTCGATGTTAGGACCTCGAAGCGCACGCACATCTAAAACACTGGAGACGTATCTTCCGTCTATCACAACATGATCGGTCTGGTTGGTGATTTTTCGTTCAAGAGACAGCCAGGTATCTTGATGAATCTTCCTGTGCTGGCAGCTAGTACTACAGATAACCATATTTCGGGCCCTCGTGGAGGCTGACTTTACGGTCCGTAGTGCCAAAGATACATAGCCACCCTGGCGTTAAAGTCGCCAAGCACGATTTTGACATCGTGGGGGCGGCAGCTGCCATAAGTGCGCTCAAAAGGCATCTTTGGTCACATCGTCCTTCTCTTCCGTCGGGGCGTGGGCGATATGTTGAAGAACCTCGCTTTGATGCGGATTGTGGCTAGACGTTCATTCATCGGAGTGAATGATAGTACTCGGCGACGGAGTCCCTCTCCCACCACGAATCCCACACCAAACTTGCGCTCCTTTATATGACCACCTTAGTAAGTGCCACAAGGACCTACTCGTCTCTGTCCTTGTCCCGTCCATCGCATTTCTTTTACGGCGGTGATGTCAGCCTTTAGTTTGACGAGGACATCAACCAGCTGGGCAGTGGCACCTTCCTTAAGGGACCGGACATTCCAGGGGCATGCATTCAACTCGTAGTCCTTATTTCGTTT